TCAAAGCATGTGGGAAAAGAAACAGAGAAGGCAAAACATCTGGCCTCTAGTTTTTAATTAGAGTCTGTTCACCTTTGGGATTATTTTTAGTTCAGGTGGTGAGGGATTTCTCCTCCTTGCGGACCACCTGACAACAACGTGAAAGCACCTGTGTTGTTGAAGTGAGAGAAACAGAGCAAATGTTCACTTTTGTTTGAGCTACGTGCTCTAAAATAAAGAGACACGTGAGGCGGCTGACACCAAAATTCACCGTTTCTCTTTGGCTACATTGCAAACGACTACCAAAAGACTTTGTAACCCTGCCCTGCTCCAAGGGCAACTGGAGCAAACCACAGAGTATGGGATTCTGGGATGGGGGCGCATGACCAATGGGAGGACACTTAGCCCAGGGAGATGCAAAATTGATTCGGTTTCACTTATCAGAGTCTAGTGAGAGATGAGTTTGCGTGGTATCCATAACAGATTCAGAGCAAGCCTCCTGGTGAGAAACTCACCTCAATTTCCACAGAGCCGTGCTCCTGCTCTGCTTAGCCAGGATCGAGCACCAGATTTTTTTTATTTTTTTTGAAGGGGGAACAGCAGAGAACCTCTTCTGGGGTTGGCGGGAGGTTTTATTGCTAGCGGCTACGGGTGATGACACTAGCCAGTGTGATTGAGAGTGAGTAATCACGAGTGTCAGGCCCGTTCTCAATAAAACCTGCGCGCACAAAGCGAGCTTCTCTTTGATTGACACTTTCTTATAATCCGCCCATATGAATTCCGGGAAGCCTATTATGGCTTTTTTTTTTTTTTTGCTGTATGCTGTAAGCACTTAGTTTGTCCGTATCAACGGGCCTTTCAGCCTGCGTACATTTCCATTCATATACGGGGGGAAATCAATCTTCAAACATTCTAAATACATTCATAAGACAGGTACGGCATGGCTTCAGACAACATGATTCGTTTCGCTTGGCGAGAAAACCGAGTCATCATGATGGGAGATAAATGTTGGCGGAGAAGGCACTTTTGACCAGGGTCGAATGCTGAGTGTTGGGACTAATCATTTCCTTCTCCACCCCATCGAGTGCTGTCACTCAGCCCCACTCTAATGCAGACATAATCATAGCAAGGGGATGAGGAACTTTTCATGTTTAATTAATAATGCTAATGAAACTTAATTAGCACGGCTAATGAAAAATGCATTCAAATGAGAGATGAGCTTTATCCTTAAATAACAAGCCTCCTGCACTGGATTTGGTGTCCTATTACATGCTAATTAGACTGCACTGGGGACTGTTAATTTAACGAGTGCACATCATTTTCATCTTCTCCATAGTGGAGGGGCGCAGGACCGGTGGGTGTGAACGAGAGAAAGAACGGAAGAGTGCAGAGGAAGCATCAGAGCCAGTCTCATGTCCAGCCTTCTGTATTAAACATGTTTCTGATTAATAGTCCTTCTCTGTTAACTGAACATTTCTATAAGTTTGACTGAACTTATTTTACTATGCTCAGATTTTTTTTTACACACCACTTCACAAAATCTAGGTCTTACTCCTGAAATTGAATTTAAACAGGATCTATATATATGTCTTCAGAGTGCTGAGTTCTACGTAAATATGGTTTATTGTGCATAATTATTTACATAAATTATATTTTCCTGTTGCAATTAACTATAAATGCTCCTGTAAAGTAGTCAGTAAACTTAATTTAGTAACAAACAAAAAAAAAACACATTCATGTGCATTTTCTAGCAACCATGGCTGCAGTAATGATCAGATGATGGGGAATATGTTTTGAGTTTGTATGGCCTGAGATGTACGAACATGTAGTGAAAATTATTTTTAGGTTAAAATAAATTTTAAAAAATTAATTATTTAATTAATTATTTAATGAAAGCATCCACCCCTAAACCTAAGCCTCAGTGGG